TGTGATCCACAAATTGTTGTTCCGGGTCTGGGTGACATGTGTATGTGAAATTGTATGTTTGTAACAGCACACACGACACAGTAGAAAATCCTAGTGTGGGGCAACGTTTTTCTAAAACACAAATAAAAAAAACAATATTATAGTCTTGATATACCTACTACGACATAAAAGTGATATACTAATGTCAGTTCTCCATTTTCTCTTTTTCATTTTCTCAATTAGGCTGTGATCTACACAGAGTCTTAATCTGTATTTTAATATCTAGTAGTTTGATTACTATTGCCGCTCCCTTGCTTTGCTTTTTGGGGTAAAAGGCTTGGGAACATGGGCTTCCTACCTCACTAAAACCATGATGATAGATAGATGATAGTGACTACCGGAGGTGGGCAGTGTCACCGCCTATATGGGGCCTCGGATCTTCTTCTAAAACTACTCCGAAGACCTCACGGTGCCACACACATTCCTTGGGAAACCTACGTCTTCATTTTTCATAAGAGACCTACAATAAAATCAATAAAAATCCTAACAACCTACATATCAAAGGAATATAATCAAAGAGTCAACAAACCCTTACAAGGTTACAGTAATGCTGTGACCGACAAAATATCGATAAAATCTAATCGATTTTACAAAGTAATTATATTCTTTATGGTTAGGTACTTATATTTATTTGTCACGCTTTTTTTTCATCTGTACTAATACATATAATCAAGAGGTAAAATTAAGTTAAGTTTGATTTCCAAAATTCTTTCACTGATAGATAGCTACAAAGTGCCTGAGTGCTATAGCTAGTATGGTATAAAAACAAATAAACATTACTTACGACCAAACTAAGTTACGAAATAATAAATGTTCCGAAATACCCAAGTGTCTAATACCACTAGAAACCGAAGGACAGACAAAAGAATTTTCAAAGCTTTGAGTTGGTTGAGATGGTTGTTTGAGGACCAGGATGGGGCTTATGGCAAACCCCCTCTTAAGAGTCCTTTGTACAGCAATAAACATATTTCAGTTAGCGAGGTAAAAATGGCTACGCATAACTATATAGAATAAAACAGAGTCGCTTTCTTTGTCCCTATATTCCTAGGTACTTATGCTTAAATCCTTATAACTACGCAACGGATTTCGATGCAATTTTTTTTGTAGTTAGTGTGATTGAAGAGGATTGTTTGTTAGTAGGTAGGTATAATAAGATCCATTGAACAGTGGAAAAAAATTGTATTATTATTGCACCCGTGTAAAGCGTGGCGCCTAGTTTGAAATAGGTATAATAGAAAATACAGATTTCTTTTTGATTGCGGGACAAAACAGGTGCCTTATTAAAATGAATAATAGATATAATACCTATAGCAGATAATAGCTACAAATTGATAACTTACATTACATAGCATAAAGACAAGAACAAATTGGAGTCACACACATTAAATTATACTGCTTAAATATTTCATTATTAATGGTGCACTATGACATATTATTGGCTTACGGACAAACCATTATAATGATCTATTTGCTTAAATAACGCCAAAAGTGTAACGTTATATTTTGGAATTCAAAAGATTCAAATTAGTACCAGTCCGCCACTTAGGATGTCTTTCTCTTTATTTTAATCTGTGGCTTCTCTAAGGAGGTTATAGTTCCAAGTTCTTCTCCACTACCAAAATCGTTTCTCCCACTCCTACCAATTTGTACTTTCTGTGATTATTTAAACACATACGATGAAGAAAAACATCGTGAGGAAACTTGGACTTATAATTTCTAATTATCTCTCTGTTCTAGTTATAAGCTTGAAATCGCAAACTTGAGCAAGCGTGCTGATTAATGTTAAAACCTTCTCCGTGTGAGAAGAATCCTTTGCTCAACAATAAGCACTTATAGGCTAATGATATAGCAAAATCGCAACTTTATCAAAATCGATTAATAATAAGTGAGCCCAACAACTAGCTTAGCTGCGTATTTATGTGAGTAATTCGAGTAATTTAATCAAAAAGAAAAGAAATTATCATTCTTATTATGTAATGGAGAAATGAAATATAGACTTGCACCCGGTTTCCGAAAGGCCGATCAATGTTAAAATCAATTTAATCTCTTGTCATTCTTGTCAAGTCATCTGATTGGTTGACTGAATTATCAACAACCAATCAGATGACTTGACAAGAGTTTTAACAGGAGATTAGTTAATTTTAGCGTTGACAAGCCTTTCAGAATCCAGGTGTAAGAGTTAAGGATAGTTCATATTGATTCTACGAATACAATTGAAGATCTCCTTATAAATGAATAAAGATAAAACATTTCTTACGTGTAATAACTTAGCATAATAAAATTACGGGCTCATAAGTCCTTTACGTCATAACTAACAATTTAAATATTATAACTATGTATTACTTTACTCTTCAAGGTCAGCAGAAATAACTACTAAATAAGTACTTAGTTCATAGATACATAATCCGTTTAGCCGCATTTCTTAAGAGGTAACTTGTGCCCATGACATTGCTCATACACATAAAACTCAACTTTTCTTGCACTACCACATCATTTTTAAAAGCAAATATTCGTGCTTTTAGCGAGACTAACAAACAGTTATAGATTTTTATGTGAAGATCACATCATCAGCCTATGCTACCCACTGTTGAGCAAAGGCCTCTTTTCATACGGAGAAATTTTGAGCACCAATCACAACACTCGCTCTCAAGGCGGATTGACGATTTCAAACTTATAATGTCATCCTTCACCCTATGTCAGCGGTGTCTTAATACTCATAGAATAGAATGTTTTTTATAGTTACTTAGATAATAGACGGATGGGTAAACTACATGTCAAAGTCAAGGTAATAATTTAATGATGTGGTTACAATAAACAATGTTGCGTAGAAGGAAACGTAAACGACTCGTGACCCGACGTGAGCGCCATGACACATGAAAAAAGCGGGAAAATTAACTGTCAGTGTCATAATTTTTATTTATGTTTTTTCCACTTATTTCTTAAGAAAAAATGCAACTTCAGTACAAATTAAATTAAGTAAATATTGTTACCAAGTCAATTTCTCACTTTAAATGCTTTCTTCGTTTTTTTTTCACCTAATATCTCATGCACTGAGTAAACAATAAAATATACAAAACCTTTTTGTCAAATGTGTGTAACAACTACTTTAATAAATTCTAATTTAACTACAAAGACCTAAGTAATAAGGTTAATACCGAATTAATACACATACCAATCATAGAAATTACGTAAACACTTTCTAAATACCTACTTACATCCAGATCCTTTCCAAAAACAAGCTAAAAGAAATCGATTTAAGATTCGCCATTTAAGAGCGTAGCATAGGTGCATGTGTTTACATAAAAATATATTAAGTAGATATATTTACACCTTGACATAGACAGATTTACTTAACACGCTTATCACCAAGGTATGAGCAGGTAAAATAGGTAATTAGCACTTTATCTAAACTCTAGACGGTGTAAAGATTATAATATAAACCTACCAACGAAATACGTATAATCTTTAATTGATATTATAAATGACGATTAAAGTACCAAGATCCGGTACGCAGTTACAATTTTGTCAACAAATAAGTGGTTTCCAAAATATTGTAACAAAAAATTATTTTATTTTCGTCATTTCATTGTCGATCTGCTATCTCACTCACATATCATTGAGCTCAAGGACGTGAGGAACAAAATCATAATCACTACACAGTATAAAACAAAGTCGCTGTCTCTGTCCCTACATCCCTATGTATGCTTAAATCTTTAAAACTAGGCAACGGATTTTGATGCGGTTTTTTCAATACAAAGAGTGATTGGAAAGGAACTTTTATAATATGCATTATAAGATAACGGAAAACTGTTGTATTCGCATTGCACCCGCGAGAAGCCGTGAGGGTCGATAGTTTCATCCAATTTACTCCTGGACGACAAAAATAATTCACTATTGTCTGTTTGAGGCGGATAAAAATCAAAACCAAACAATCGACTATATTCTAGCCCAAATGTTTAGTCGATTATCGATAGAACTATAGTCATTCACAATGTTTTTTCGGAAAAACCAGTACTTACTACAATTTTTTCCAAGTTCAATGCCTCATTTACTGGATTAGTATTACACCTGCGCTCTCCCAAGTGTGGGTGTGCTCACGCCAAATTCGCTGATAGCGAACTTAAGGTTCATTTTACATCGCTACTGTGGTGGCAGTAGATACGATTTTTTCTAACATTCGTACTTTAGTACAAGGGAATATGATCTGTAATGCTTACGTGTTGTTATTTAAAATCATTCTTGTTTTGTTTATCTATGCTTAGTCAAGGGAATTCCCTCTAGTTTCAGGTTAGAAAAATATAGAACTCTTGTAAATATCGCATACTTAAAATAATTTGTGCACTAACGTTATTATAATGATAAAGAGAATTGAACCTTATGTAGTTATTGGCATAGTAAAAAATGCGATAAGCCGCTATCGTTTCTACCATAGTTAATCTTATTTGTTGATTAGATGTATTGAAGAATTAAAATAAATACTAAATTCACAATAATGTTATTTGTTACATGACAACAAATAGCCGAGAGTGGTTATTTTGACATTAATAACGAATATTTTGAGTTAAGTGTATTAATAAATAAATCGAAATGCAAAAACTAAAGATCAGCTATCAAAACATTATTTATTTTACAAAATGATTTCATTTTCTACTTTCCAGTGACACGGATTTTGTTATCTAAAAGCACTTGCATCACACACTTAATAATTACATTATACATTTTCATTTTCAACCATTTACCGGTAGATACTTAATCCACTTTCTATTTGATAACCAATTAAAATGATAATTGTAAAAAATGAGTGCTTGAAAGGAAGTAACTTAAACTAACACAAATTTCGATCGTAAAACACTAAAGTGAAAAGTCGATTGCCTTGATCTAATATTTCCGAATTAATTATAAAGTCAACATCGATAAATTTGTAGCAAAAAAAAACTAATGTATTAAAAAACTAAACGTACCATCATCCATTTTGGTATAAATATCACAACTCTAATAAAAAAAACAATTGTCACTTGACAACTTAAATGTGAGCGGGAAAATTCGATTTCGGAACACTCAAAGCGCGATCATTCCCGCGTAAACCAAAAGTCGTACTGCGGAGGCGCGGCGGTTTACACACCCACACGACGTGTTATCACTCCACCGTGCGATGACGTATTAAATTTAGGTATAAAACAATAATTACGCGAACATAAACTTGTGTGTAATCAAACTGGCGGCCACAGAGCAATTTCGCGGTTTTATCGATGCTCTATGTCGCTCAACAAAACCCTTATTTACCGATCGATAATGAGTAGAACGGCGTCGCACAACTAACGATGAGATTTTTTAATATATACTTTTACAAAAAATCTCTAGTATGTATAATATTATAAATGTAATAAAACTTACGAAAATTAGCTTTTTGCTTGTCCCAAATGTGTTTCACATCACTCATCTTTACGAATAGCACAGCGGCAATGAACACTACAAGGGGAATGATTTTTTCACTATTCATTACGAACAGGTGATCAAACTGACCAATAACAACGTTGTCAGTACTAAAATAGACTGTCAGGTACGAAGACACTGGCCAAAAAATTTTAATTGCCTCATAAATTAAGTTACGCGGAAATTTGGGATATTCACTGCAACCGATGATATATCGATGATAAATGACAATTAAGACTGAATGAAAGTAAGCTAGAAACTATGGCAATTTTCCAACGAGTCTGGACCATTCGTACTTGTCACCCTGCATAATGCATTGAACTAAAATAAATATCATCAAAGCAATATTTGGACATGTATTGACACATAAAAACGATGGAACTTCGATGATGTAACGAAATCGCGAAGTTTGGTAGCTACAATTTACAAAATAAATTGACTAGACACCCAAAAATAGTACATCACGACAAAGTCAACATGCGTCATGAGGCATACGCAATGTTTTTTTGTTCGCGTTCGGAAGCATGTGCGGATTTGAACCGTCCAAAAAAATATTTTGCACAAGGCAAGAGCCAAATAATATGTATAAATAAATTATCTGCCAAACAAAGAATGAGAGCAAGTGTGTCAACACGAATACAAGTCTTTGTCTCTTCAAGTGCTTCCGTCAAAAATATATTATAAAGAAACCTCTGAAGACTTTCCCAATTAAGAAACACCTTTAGGTCCTTCGTGTCAAGCGATTTGAAACATAGGACCAAAAACTAAACACAACTCAAAGATAAACTATTTAGTGGATTTAGAATACAATTTTGATTTTCTTATAATGTATGGTGTGTCGATCATTGTAGTAGGCACAAATCTTGAGAGAAGTTGCAGATCCCTTACGGAACCTCTTTAAATTTAACTTATACTTGCTATAAGTTAAATAGCAATATCCTTATGTGACTAACAACAACGTACCTATCCAGGAAATAGCGTGTCATTAAAAAAAAGGAAAATCTATCAAATAAACAAAATACCCTAGCTGTTACATCATGCAACATCTGTATGCTCCTATCGCCGAATACAAAGTTGCAAATTGAAAAAAATATTGTATAAACAGCTTAAAACTATGCATCGTGCCCTTGAAGTACACTTCGCCTACGTCAAATTTATTTTTAAAATACAATTGCGCTGTACGATCATGACATACGGTGTGTTTTATTGCTTCTTGTTTCCCAAGTCATAGGAAAGCTATTTTACTTTCATTCAAGTCATGTGCCATGCGGTCTTCAGCTATGGAAGTGCCAGAGCCAACATTGCTCTTACCGTGGGTGTTGTTAGGAGCTAAAAATACGAATCACGCATGAGTTGAGTGACCAGAATCATTTGAAACAATAACAACATTGTCACGTGAATGCAAAATTGATTTACATAACAATTTACTTCTGCAGAATCGTGCCGAGAGAACCGTTTCAATACTGACATGGATAATCCGCTTAAAGAGCACAATTTGAATAAACATCAAGAAGCTTGAACGACTCGGTTGAGATACGTAAGAACATAAAAAGTTGCGTCAATGTCACCTTGACTGCTAAAACAGCTTTCATAAAATAGTTCGGGGGTGTGTCCGTGTGAGCCGGCGTTACGTAAACAGTATCAAACGAAGGTCGATGACGTTTTTATTCGTCGAAACTGTTTTGCCATGTACACATTGGCTAACTGAAAACAGACGCCCATGTTTGCCAAAGTTGACGCGACAAAAAAAACGCGATTTTTTCTCGCCAACAATACTGTCTCGAACGACAAGAAAATAATTAAGTAGGTATTTTTATTATGTAATAGGTCGGCAAACGAGCAGACGGATTACCTGATGGTAAGCAATCAGCGCCGCCCATGGACACTCGCAATGAAGGAGTTACGAGTGCGTTGCCGAACTTTTAGGGATTAGGGATTTGGAGATTTAGGGATTGGGGGAGGGGAAGAATTGGGCCTCCGGTAACCTCACTCACACGGCGAAACACAACGCTGTGGTTATTTCACGCCGTTTTCTGTGAGGCCGTGGTATCACTCCGGTCGAGCCGACCCATTCGTGCCGAAGCATGGCTCTCCCACACTTAAAACACAGAGTATAATACATAACACAGGTATTTTCAGAACAGCGGAGGTTACGGGGCAAGCGCAAAGGGGGTACCAAAGCCTAGTCCTGGAACACGAGAAGGAACAGAGGGCCTACCATGGCGTGTTAAAGCGTCAATCTTCCGAGAGAGAAAGAGGGATGGAGCTATAAAAGGTGTATAGCTCCTACTGGGTTGTTTTAAAGTTGGTATGAATCTGACACTACCTCTCACCTCGCTCTGGGCTAGAGAAGTCATTTGATGGATCAAAGGAGATATTTGCAGACAAATAAAGGGTAAATACCACATAATAAGAACGTGATGAAAAAAAAGAAAAATAGAAGAAGTAAACAAAATGGCTTGGGCGATTCAAAAACAGCCACACCTACTAATGTTTTTGACATTGTGAATAACAAAAAAATACATTTGCATAGTCCGGTGGATGCATAAACAACTGACGTTACCAAACACGTTTTGGTCGCAGCGGTAGAGTACAAAAGTAATTGTTGTTAATAGATTTTTCAAACATGTGTATTTTGGAACATTTGCATTACAATTCAGCGATTTTAGCAGGTTTACCACGAGTATTTAAACTAGATATTTCTAGTAAAATTATTATAGTCGTTTTTATAGTTGTGTTCTTGTTTCAAGTTTCACAGCTTTAGAACTGTTCAGTAAAAACCTCTTCGAATACAAAGCGAGATTGACTATTAATCACCATACTCGTTTTTTATGCGACAAGTCCGCAAATGTTCATTCTGTTAACCTGGTGGCAAGCAATCGGCGCCGACCATGGACACCCACAACGCCAGAGGAGTTACGAGTGCGTTGCTGGTCTTTTGTGTGGGTCAGGGTTAGGGATTGAGCTGGAATGGAAGGATTAGGCCACCGGTAACCTCACTAACACGGCCAAGCAATAGTTTGGTTGTTTCAGCCGGCTTACTGTAGAGCCGTGTTATCACTCCGGTCGAGCCGACCCATTCGTGCAGAAGCTTGGCTTAATTGGCAATGTGATTGATAATACGCTAGTTTTTAAACATGTTAGAGTGTATTTACATTCATTTAGTGGGAATCCTTAAGTTATAGGTAAAATCAAACTACTACTTATCAACTTTTAACAAACAGAATACGAGATATAAACAAATTGTATATGAACTTTCGACCTCGTATTTGTCTTTGTTGGTATCAGTTCAATGTCCTAAGTTAATTTTAATGTAAATTATTTATGTACTTCAGCAGCGGTGATATCATTGGAGGACTTTGAGCCTAATGGACAAGGTCTTTGCGGTTATAACTGTGAATTAGATATCAAACTACGTTATATTATATCATTTACAATATTATAGTAATGAATTGACAAAGGTAACATACGTAGAGTAGCTAGTAAGTTAATTTGGAAACAAGGAAATGAGTGACAAGAACGCTTGAATTTGGGCTTCGTTCCAAAGTTGATGAGAGAAGTCAAAGAAAAGAGAGAAGAAAAAGCATCTACCACTTACACGAGAACATTAAAAAAATACTGAGTAACCTTTTTCAATTAAACAATTAATTTATTTTTGTAATTAGGTCATAAAACAGCACTTTTGAAACGTCAAAATTATATGTAGGTACAAAACTAGATGAAGCTGGCATTTCCTATCTGACTACTCTGAGAAGAAATGCCAAAACAAACTCTAGAGCGTTTTAACCCTGATTGATAGTTAATAAATACCCTTAAAAGGCTAAAGTGAAATTATAAAGGGCCAACGGGTCCCTCCGAATCCCATAAAACTAAAATTGATTAGGGTTTTAACTACGTACATCGGTTAAAACCGACCGACTCTAACAAATTCTTCCAATAATTAAAATGTAACCAGTATTCTAGGCTAACTAGCATTACATAAGACGGACAAGTACGACTTGTTTTTTTTCACAAATAGCACCCGTACATACCGACGAGCGAACTATGTCAGTAATGCTAACGTTGGTCTGTTTGTCGGATATTTCCGCGGCAGACGTACTGGTGTCACTAGATATCTTCCGACAATGCTATTTTTATCCCTTTTTAAGGTCATTAGTCATAACGAATGAAAAATTCGTTACTTACTATTGAATGACCTGATCCCGTACATTAGCCGAAATTTTGAAGGAGATTCAGCATCTACCTTCTCTCATTTCATTTGGAATTAATTCTACTGTTGGAATACGACCTTCGTTTTCTGTACTTATAGGGAGTTCGCTATAATCTGTGACATATCGACGCTTTGCAAGCGGGTTAGTAATCGCAGTTTAAAATGTTCCGGACAGTTCATTGTTTTTGTGAGAGCCATGCTTCGTATAAACCGCCTTATGTCGTAAAACAAATGTTACATTGAGTGAAGTTAGTGGCCCTGTCCTCCCCCTTCCGCACTCTCATATTTTTTTTATCATAAATTGGCCGGTGTTTAATGATAATGTAGGTAGACTAACATCAAATTCCTTAACCTAAAAGACTGGCTACGTAGGTACTCGGAAATTTTCTGGTGTTGCCGGTTAAAGGTAGGTACGCCGACATAAAAAAAGTAAAGGTTTAACAGAAAGTGCTGCGGTTTTCACCTACGGTTCTTTAACTATTTTCTGTTGGTATCACCTAATCCAGTTGCGTGTAACGCAATTGGGCAATTGCCAACCACACGTATACAAACCTTCTGTTTCATTAGACTAAAACTGACGTAAAACGTAAAAACTAAAGTCAATGTACCCTAAACTAGAATAAATAACTAGTTCTGTTATTTCGGCCCTATTTTTGTCTAACCGGTTGGCGGTTCCAAATAAACATAGAAAAAA